CTCTTTCTCACGCACGCACACACACACACACGCACACGCACACACACACGCACACACACACGCGCATACCATGAAGTACAATAGAGTATGATTACTTTAATGTGGCCCTCCAAGTTTATTTACGCCATATGTCATAGCTCTGTAAGCCATAAGCTCCGAATTAATGGATGTGTCGAGAGATAGTGTGCCCCATTTGCTCATTAATTACAGACGGGAACAATCTCTGTTGATGGTCCTCAACTCATAATTACTCAGAAGAACTGGAATAAAACACTGTCATCATCTTTGCTCACCCGTTATCCTTGGGCAGCTGTGCTGGTATCATGCTGGGCTGTGGGTTTGAATCTGCCAGGGGGTGCTGTTAAACTTTTGATTCCAATTGACTGAGTGCTATCGGGGAAGGACATTTGGTCAGTGGTCCCAACTTTGTTCTAACTTTTTAACATTACTGAATTTTGAAAGTTGTCCTCCTCCCCCCCCCGTCAGAGATATTCCATTCATCACAAATCTGCCGCGTGACAGTACGCCCTTTAGTCACTCCTCTCATGATTTCATCCCGAAATTTGACAACTCCTTCATTCAAACTGACGTGGATTTTAGATCACTTCATTTACTCGCACTCCTTCTAAGAACTGAATTGTTTGCAACCATGACCTCGAAAGCTGACGCAAATGCTAGTTATTATTATTATCATTATTTTCATTACTTATATTATTATCATCATCATCATCGTTATTATTATTTTTATTATTATTATCATCAATGTTGCTAGCTGTTGTTGATGGTCACATTCTATAATATTACCTGTACTTTTTCTCTTATGTCTTTTATAAAAACTTTTCAACTACTCTGTTCTATTTTACTAATCTAATATAACTTGAAGATACTATCCTGTTCTCCTATAATCTCTTACGTTTGTTTGTCGCCTGGCGTCACTTTGAAAAGAATCCGAACCTACAGATGTAGTTTTACCCGTGTGTCATTGCTGTGAATTCCGTTTATAATTTCTGTCTCTTGAATTTTATGTCATTGTGAGAACAGGTGGCGTGTAGTGACAGCTATGTTAAGTGTCAGTATCTGTTACCTATGTTGTGTTTGTATGTCATCGTAGGCATTTAACATTGTGGTACGCCACAATAATATACAGTCTTAGGTGTCTTCTGGCTTTTAGTCAGTTGTCTCAAAGTGCTGTGGAGTTTATAGTTTATAGCTAGGTCAATGAATATAGCTTTGGCTGGAAGCAATATTTTATTTAGAAGGTCGTAAAGTTCAAACATAAAAAGATGAAGAGCTGGTGGGCTAACTGTGTATTGAATTGGCAGTCGGTCTCCATGCCCCGTTTTTTTAGATCGAGTGTGCAGTGGAGAGGCATTGGCGTGTTGTCGCCATTGTGTGCCCGTGTTGCTGGGTCAATGCGTGGTGTCGTGGTGCTGTATGTGTGCCTTGTTCTCTCTGTTCCCCAACAGTCTTTGATGCTAGCGTAGCGCCCGGGGAGACGTACTACGAAGAAGTGAGAGAGGACGGCACCATAGTCCGCCACCGAAAGTTTACCACCGGGGGGGACCAGAGCAAGCGGATGGAGCTGGTGCAAGAGGAAGGACCTGCGCGGGAGGAGACAGAGGTGGAAGACCACGAGGAGATACTGCCTGACGGGACTGTCCATCACACACACAAGGTCCGGCGCCATTCGTTGAAGAAGATCAGGAAAAGTTTGAGGTCCGAAGATGGCCAGGAGAAAGTGACTGAAGATGTTGAAGAAGTACCGGGAAGTTTGAGGGAAGACATTGTGGAAACGTTTGATGAGCCCCCGAGACGAGTGCATGAGGAAGAGGAAATCGAACAAGTCCTGGAAGATGGAACCAAAGTCCACAGAAAACTTATCATGAACAGAATGGTCCACCACATGAGAACCCACCAAGAATCATTTGATTCCGACCACGGACACCAAGAGGAAGATTTTGAAATTGATGAAGTTATACCTGGGACAGAGTCAACATTCATGGCGCCTATTGACTCTGACAGTAGTTCTGATGATGACTATGTGCGGACAGAGGGTCACACGGAGGGAGACTTTGAGGAGGAAACCAAAGTCTTGGATGATGGGACGGTTGTCACCAGCACTCTCCTCACAGCAGAGACCAAAAGAAAGACTCTCTCTCGCTCAGGCTCTATTGAAGAAGAGTTTGTGGATACCCGCGTTGAAGAGGAGGCCATATGCCCAAGCCCTCGTCCTCGCTCACCTGCCGACCCATATAACGTGAGCGGAAAGGATGTTGTACGGAAGACCACAACAAGCGCCCATGTGGAGGAGTCTGTGGAGGGGGATACAGTGGAACGCTCTCTGGAAGTCGTGGAGGATATGCTTGCTAAGGGTGCCCTCGCATCCCCCCCGGAGTTCATGGAAGAAGATGATGATCCGGAAGGTAAAGATTAGAGCCCCTAGAGAGTTGTTTCCCTTAACCTAGAGGGCTGTACTTCACCAGTATCAGGTAGTTTGTAGCCTTGTTTGCACAATCGCATGTCTTGAGGCTGCTAGTTTAAGTTGTATGTTTCACCAAGAAAGTTAAATGCCTAAAAATATTAATCCAACTATGTTGTAGAAGCAAGAAGTTTCAGCTTTTTTTTTTCTAATACGAAGAGGTTTGTGACAATTGCAAGGAAAATCATGCCTTATGGCTGAGGTGTGGCTTTTCATTATTACTAAAAGACGGTTGGTTAAGTAAGGCCTTTATGTCTATGTAGACAGTTGTCACCACAAGCAGGGAAACTCATACCATGGTTGTATTTTTGTGTGTTAGTGTCTGAGTATTCTTGCCGTGTCCTACCCATTTCCTGCTTTATTATGTTGTTCACATTATTAGACATAGTTTTCTTGTCTGTTTGGGGATTTTGCGTGGTGTGGTTTGTTCGCTTCTCAATAGTACATGCGTGGTGGAAACCTTTAACATCTTCAATGTTATTGGCTAGTGTATGTTGCGCATGATTTATCAAATGTCCGTGGAACTGCTCCGTAAAAGTGCTATGAAGGTTTTTGTTTTCTATCCACATTGTTTAGCCAAAGTAACCTCTACGGCTGAGTGTTTACTTTTGCCCCAGCTACTGTTGTTATTATCCTATCCCAAAATACTAATCATGTATTCATGATGAAATTAAAGAAAGGTGCGCAATGGTTGTCTGGGTGGTAAAAATATGCTGTGGAATTGTTTAGCTTAAACTTTTGAATATTTAAAATTTTTATACTTTATAGTTTCGGAGAAAAATGTTTGATGATAATCATTTCTTTTTCCTCGTAGGTTCTTAAAGTATTGTTTAGAATTTCCATGGTAATTAATTAACCAGTAACCTCGATTTCTTTAGCAGTTTTAGAAAATGTTATTAGTTCTCATTTTTAAAAAAAGTGTACATGGGCAGGTTATGAGGCCGTATTGAGAAGGATTTTTTTTGGCTGGAATATGGCTCCGCTTGAGACATGCAAGAACGTACGGTTGTCCATCCCCCTCCCCCACGATCTTTCATGTTCTGTTTGCTCTGGTGCTATGTTGTAAAAGTTTGGCCCATTGCGAAAAGTCCTGATTTCCTGTGAGCCAGTTGATTGTAACCAGCTGGAACGCTTCGATGTGGTGAACACTGAGGTTTATCCAATATATTTAAAGTGTAGGGTTTCACTATTTGTTACTTATCTACTCTAAGGAACTTAAAGTGTAACAAGCAATCTTCTTTTGGAAATGGTGAAGAGGAATACAATTTGTAGATGACTGAATTAGTTTCTGAAAACTTCTGACTTTATACTTTTTGTGGTTTGTTATTTATGTAAATTATCATATCTGGGTGATTTATTTTTTTTAGGTGCTTATAAAAAGTAATGATTAGCAGTGACGCTTTACGTCTTTCCATCTGCACATGATACATCTAACGTCAAATTTAACAATTTTTCAAATTCTACATAAAAAGGAAAGTTTCTCTTTATGTATGACACCTGACTCTTCTTTCACTATTCTTAAAAGTGCACTTTACCAAAAATTCCAGCACCTTTTCCAAAACTGAAAACTCAATATAAAAGACAATAACTAATGTCCTTTTTCTGTAACAGTGACTATCCATTACTTCTCAAGATTAATATTCCCCACTGAGACCTGCTCCCTTCTCTTCGACCAACGACAACATATTTTGAATTGTCTCTGAAAACAGATGCATTCAGCTTCAAATTGTCGATGACAAACGACAACCTTAACTTCAAATATTCGATTACAGTAGACGAATTCACTTTCCCAATAATTTTTCCTGACAACTGACCTATCCAACATCCTAGACAACTGACCTATGAAATTTCCAATTACCCTACCCCTGACAACTTGCAATTACTTCTGACGACTGCCATAATTTGCAGAATGTCGCGAACTGGATGACACTGGCCTAGCCAAACGTCAGGTGACAAAGATCACATATTACGCTGACGATCTCAGCAAGTCAGGTGGGCTGTAACCAGACAATGCTGCATGCCCTCCAGTGTGTGTGAAGCTGCCCCGCCCCACCCTCATCCTCACCCCTATCTTTCAACTATCCTTTTGCCCTAAATTAAGTCGCTTTCTTCTCCTCATAGGAGTGTCACTTGTTCAGGCTTATCCCGAATTACAAAATCGTCAGTTTTTCTGTATAATCTAATTGTAAAGACCCCAGTTTTTTAAAAATGTTGAGCTGGTTTATTATCAAATTAATAGAGGCCACAGTTTTTCAATGATAGATGTTTCATAAGCTACATATGCCCGACTTTCAAGTTTCTGATGTTGTGGCATCTGATATATGACTGTGCCACTTTGCGAGCAAAAGACAGTTCAGTCCCCTCCAGGGGAAGGTGTCTTGTTTAGTGTCCCTGTCTTTCTGCTGGGATGCAGTCTACCATACAACCCAGGGTGGCCCTGAGAGGAGGGTCGATGCAGCCCGCCTTCTTTTAGATGCTAATTGTGTCGATGGGGACATAAAATATATAAAGTCAAGTGCGATGTCACCTTGTTTTTCTGAATGCAATCCTGTAAGTTATGAAAATATGAAATGTATCGATATATCAACATGGCACTCCTGGTAAAATCTTCACTCTAATTTCTTTTGTCCTTTGATTAACGCAAAACTATAGTATAGATGTAGTGGGTAGATCAAAGAGGACTTTTGGAAAGTTTCTTTTCTTTCCCCTTCTCTTTTTGCCTTTCTGTAGAGTTTGGTAGTTTGAATGTAGAGTTTTGCTGTAGACTGATGAAAGCTTCTTTTATTTTCCTGTTGTTGATTTTTTTTGGGGGGGAACATTTTCTACCATAAACAGTGTGGAGATTACTTACAGAATATACAATTTTTGTTTGTTTCTGTTATCTTTGTTTTACTTTAAATAACCGGTGAGGGTTACTTTGATTTAAATATTCTGGAGCTTATTTTCAGCTATTACTTATTTAATTAATAAAAAAATTTGTAGACTTATTTTGGAACTAACTGTTAGTCTAACAGCTTGGTATTGTAAAATGTAATTGATTTTTAAAAAAAAGAAAGCTAACTTTTTTCACTGCACTTAATAGAAAGCTTGTTATTGTACTTTGAAGCTCGACTGAATTTCTGAAAGAGTTCAAAACAAAAAGGCAACATTTTGTGTGTTACTGTAGGCTAACTTTTCTTGCATGTAGGTATTGTGACTTCTTTCTCACTTTGTTTAAGGACAATGCACTTTCAGAGATTGTTAGTCTGCTGTTCTTTCAATACTGCATGAGTTCTGTTTTGTCTGCAGTGATCTGTTAATGTGTATGAAAGTTAACTTTTTGATGCATCTTTCGAAAGTGCTTGTGTTATGGTTTGTATAGGTTAAGTTTGTGAAAAGTTGAAAGAGTTTGGAGTTCCTATGTGTGTGTGTGTGATGGTGTGTGTATGATCGTGTATGTATGTGTGTGTTTGTGCGAGTGTGTGCCTGTGTATATGTGTATGTGTGTCTGTGTGTGTGTGTGCATGTGATTGGGCTTGTCTGTGTATGTATGCATTTGTATCAGAGAGAGAGAGAAAGAGAGAGAGAGAATAAAATAATAATAACACCTTTAGAAGTATTCATTCCACAAATGAGGTTTAACGTTCTCCTAGGTGCATATTATGAGGTTATTGCTACTCTGAATACAGACATAAGGCAGGCTAGATTTTAAGGTCACCTTTTAAAAAACTCATTAATGTTTCCACTTTGTTCATTATCATTTTATTTATTTAGATTTGTGTAAGTCTAAACAAACAGGGGGGAAAATGGTAAAGGTATGATACATCTGGATGTGACACACTTATGTGGTACTGTGTATTAATATGTTGTAATTTCCAGCTGCCGTTATGGTTTATGTAATCATCATTGCTTTGTGTATTTCTGTGTCCATGCACTGTCCTTATTTTCAGATCATGATGTTGGTCACCCCGATGCGCCCGGTTCCACAAAGAGGCACCTTTTACGTCCCTTTCTAATTCTTATAATTTTCTTTCAGCTTTAGCTCTATAGAATGATTCCTGCGTCATCTTTCCTCATGATTTTTACAGTCTGGGATCAACCCAGTCTCTGCCGGTCCCATGATTCTCCTCATTTTCAGATAGACCATTATGTCTAAGACTGTGTTTTGAATGAACAATTGAAACACTCAATTTTTTCACAGATTTTGGATATATTTATTATCTTTTCCTCTTTTACCCCCCTTCCCTTCCACTACTAGCCACTCAAGGATTCCCTTCCTCTGCTGATAAAGGTACTATACTGCTGTGTGGCAGTGTTTGACGTCCTTTTGTTAGCTGCTGGTTTCTTTCACTTTTCATTCATATTCACATGATGTTGTCTCGATCACGTGGTGAATTCAGCCTAATTTTGCAGAGCATGTGATGAATCCATCATGTCATGATGTTATTTTATCATGTGATGAATTCGCCATGATGTTGTCTTCATCACGTGATGTGTTCATCATGATATTGTCAAGACCACGTGATGTATTCATCTTGTTGTTGTTTCCCATCTTATGATGATTTTCGTCCCCCAGTTTTTTCATCTTCTGTGATGGCTTAGGTTTCTGTTTTCTCCGTCCAGTGTCTCTGAGGCCATGTAGTGTGATGATCACTCAGTGTCTTCTGGAATGTCTCTGACTGTTGTGCTTTGATCTCGTGGTAGAACAAATCGTCTGTATTTGCTTTTTTGTATTCGATTAATCATGTCTGATGATTATATCACCTAATACTTTTTTGGCAGATGATTTTATTTCGGAAATGTTTCAAGAGAAAACTTATTTTTATTTTGATTACAGAGAAGACACATTTTATTTTGTTTACAAAGGAGATACATTTTTATTTTGTTTGACTGCAATGTAAATGAAATGAGCATAATGTTTACCTTTTGAAAAATGGCTTTTTATGCTTTAAGTGTTTACTACAGGTAGCATGTTAAGGAATATTTCTTTACTGTTTGATTATTCTCAAAGACAATTTTTCCAAAGACATTTTAAATGTGAAGTGCATGCAGTCTAAACAAAAGGAAAAACGAAAACTTTGTTTAAGCACTCCTATATAAGTTGCTGTGTATTTTATCTGTCTTGACGTTCTTGTTTTTGAGTAAGTGATGCCTTTTGTTTTGTCTTTTTGCTTTATTTTGAATAAAGTCAAGGGGCAGAAATGAAGGGAAGTCTGCACATTGATAGTAACTGTTCCTTATTTTGAAAAAAAAAATTGTAATGAAATTCGCTAATTTCCATATCATTGGTGAAATTTTTTCGACATGTAAGTTCATCAAAAGAGATTATGAGAGACAGAAATGTTTTCTACTCTCAAATGCTTTCTATTTTCCTGTTTAAGTCATTGGTAAAACTATCGTTTCTTCTTGTCAAAGCTTCATGGCCCTGAACAGGGCAAAAGCCCAGAAAATTTAGTCGATTTTATTTTACTGGAATTACTGCCATTTTGGAAGCTTATTTTTAGAGCTACGGTAATTGTGAAGAATCTTCGAAAAGAGGAAAATAAATGAGTACAGAATAGAAGTATATTTGAACATTTTGGACATTGTTATTTTGTTCATGAATAAGCATTTTGTCCTGTATCTGAAGTTTCTCAAGTTTCAAGTTGTAAAATATAGAGACAACATTATTATCTCATATGAGCTGTGAGATCAGGTCCCTTTGTTTCCAATAAAAAAAAAAAAGCCTCTGAACTTAGTGCTTCACCTCTTTACTTAAATTTTTGTTCGTATACATTTTTAAAACTTGTGTTAGGCTGCTTTCAGTTGATCTTTTTTTCACTGCTTTGAGTGTTTTTACTTGAATGTCTTCTTTGTCCTTGGCTTTTCAAGTTTATCATCCCCATCCTACAGGTTCTGGAAAAAATGTTTTTCTTTTAAGTTATTAAAACATTTTAAAAAATCTATTTTGCAGTCATTCATTTTGTTTTTCTTCAGAAAGTACATTCATACCTCCCTGTTTCTTGAGTGTGTAATCTTGATACCAACCTAAATTTTGTATCCCCCCCCCTTTCAAAAGGGCTAGGTTTTCTTCAACCTCTTACCCCCATTTTTCAATTCCAGCAATGCATTGTGCTTATCGAAAGGAATTTCATTGCAATAGATGTTTGCCCGCAAGGAACAGCTTGCTTATTCTGACCCCTACCCCGCCCACCCTTTCCCCCTTCTTCCCCTTCCCGTCCTTTATCCACACTATCCAAAAAAGATTGTTTTTAAAACCCACCTTTCCTCCCCTTCCCTTAAAGGTTATTGACTGAATTTGGTGTTCGTTGAGCTAGAGCTCTTATATTCCAAAGTACCTGTCAAATATGCTGGTATTTCAGTCTATTTCCACTCTAGTATTAATAGTTGTCTTTAACCGCCCCGAGTGCAAAGTGATCATTTGGGTTTTCGTGTATCATTCACTCATTTACATACATATTATTTTTGTCAGTCATCTCAACTATTGATGTGCACTAGGTGTATTTGTTTTTCAGTATTTTTATGCCTAATTTTCCCATTGTGCTGCCATTGTGACTGAGTGTTGTTTCAGTTTAGTTGAAGCGCTGTAGCTTTATAAGGGCTGATTATGACGAGTATTTCGTCATGGCGATGTAGTTGCATGGACTCCCCTGCCCTGTCGCACCCATTCTCTCCCTTGCTGTCCGGACATCAGGTAAATATTCACGTTATCACCTCAGTGTGTTCTGTGTTCTTCTTCTCCATTGTGGTGAATTTGTCGTCATGTTACGTTATTAATAGACTTATACTTCCACCAAGAAGGGAAGAATAAAGGTAGAAAATTCTTTGGCATACATAATATAATACATGTACTTTATTCTCTCTATCTTGTCTTACTCAATGCATCTGTTATTTTAACGCGATGATAGTGGTCTTTCAACAGTGTTCCTTGTGCCTGTGGTTTTTTAATTGTTAACACTGGTTTAGTAATTTTACTGTTCTTCTTAATAAGTACCAGTGGTCTCATCAATTGATGTTTGCTAGATCTATATGCGTCTTATTCTTAATCAACATCACTTTTCTTAGCTCTGTTCTTCATATAGTATCTTAATTGATTCCTCTGTTGTTAGTTAATACTATGGTTTTTCTAAGTTATAAACCTGAGTTCGTGTTAATTGTTTCTACTGTTCTCAACACCACTGCTAATGTCTTGAGAAATTTCTGTTGTGGGATGATAATACTGATTTGAGGCTAAAGAGTCAATATAATATTGTCATGATTCCTCTTTATATCCGAGGAGTGTTTTTCTCCTTTGCCCTGTAAACATTATGCTTTTTTAAAAAAAAAACAAAGTTGTGGAAATTGGCTTTGGTTTTCTCAGTAAACTTCTCAGAATTGCATAGATTATAATGGGGACAGCTGTTGCGACTGAATTTCCTCTTGAAACCATAACGATAATGAGGCATTTCTTTTTTCATTGATTCAAAGTTCAGTTATAAGGCTCTAGTCTATGTATGTGTGGTTCTATTCCGATGTCTTTTATTCTGATATTTACTGTAACTTTTCTGTGTTGTACATTTTTCTGGAAAACTGAAGTAATGTACATATGTATTGCCTGTCTCCTTTTTGTTGAATACTTGAAAATACATATCTTTCTAACTCCTCTGTTTTTCTCTAATCCATACATAAATAATCCAGGTAATTTAGCACTACCCATGTCTATCTTCGCCATGCTCATTGCCATTGCACTTGGCTGTCCTTCTCATGCTTTGTTTAGAACATTCCGCTCTTTTGAAGCCTTAAAAATCTATTTCTCTTTTCATCAGTATGTCTACGTTTTACACTCTGCCCTTTTGTCTGTCTGCTGTCTGTGTGTATGTGTCTGTCGGTCTGTTTGTCTCTCTCTCTCTCTCTCTCTCTCTCTCTCTCTCTCTCTCTCTCTCTCTCTCTCTCTCTCTCTCTCTCACACTCTCACTCTTACTCTCTCTCTCATTCACTCACACACACACACACACACGTAAACTCTCACGCACGCACACACTCTCTCTCTCTCACACACACACACACACACACACACACACACACACACACACACACACACACACACACACACACACACACACACACACACACACACACACACACACACACAGGCTCACACACACGCACTCATGTGCATGCACACACAAATACACGCACACACACACACGCACACACACACACACACCCCATCTCCAACTTCTTTCCCCCCTCCTTTCCAAAAGAATGTTATTTCAATTTGTTACAAGTGCTGTTTTCTATTTCACCGAGAACGGCATCCATGCTATTCATGCAGTGCCTCTGTTTATGGCCCACCATACATTTTTGCAACTCTTTGCTCAGGTCTCATCTATCTCAAACAAACTGCTCAACTGTTTTACTGTTTTTGCGAGGATGTGATAACGCCGTGTCAACAGACGAATATTGCACTCCCATCAACTTTCCCATTTATTTTAGTAAGGATCATGAGTTCCATGAAACAATTGCCCTGCCTCCTAAATGAACTAAATTTTATTGATGGGGGTATAAAAAAATATTTACTCATAAAAAAAATCCAACAACAGTTGGGTCCCTTTACAAACGCTGTCAGTGTATACTCGTGCTGAATCAGTTGTGAAAGAGCTCATATTCATGTGTCTTAGATACAGTACAGTCTTTGCTTCTACGCCATGGCGTTCATTCATTCACTGCTGTCTGTGTCCACTTCTCACATGCTAGCCTAGACCCTCGCCCATCTCCTCTCCTCCGCCACCGTGTCAATGTCCATCTTACTGCTGCTTGCACAAGCCACATCACTACTGATAATCTTAATGATTACTCCCCACCAAGAATACGTTGTTTTCCCTGAGACGTGGTCCATTCATATATTATTTTCCCACTACGTAATAGCCCTACATTTTCTCAAAATATGAGGCTTTTACTTTTTCTCTCAATGTTATCGTTAACTTTTTTTCCGAGCTGTTACTTTCATGTGTTACCAAAGCATAGTAGTCTCATAGTTTGTGAGACAGAAGAGCGCCTCTCATTTTCTCTAGACGGAACTTATTCATATCTTTTCTTTCAAAACAATTTCATATTTAAGGACTACATCATAAATGTAAAATGCATGTTTGTTCCCATCTGTGGGAACTTTGCGGAGCTGAACGCATGCAGACCATTATCATTATTGGTGTTTCAGATGGTGTCTCTATTTACTAAGCTTTAAGTTGCATTTTCTATTCCATCACGATAAATTGGGAATAATTGTGAACGGCCCCAAGTTGTTTTCAGTTAGCAGCGATATATTGTGTACTTTCTCGTGCATTTTTTCAGTGAATACTCGGTTTAAGTGTAATTGACTTTTGTTTAGCTGCCGTTAGATTTCGTTTGACCTATAGTGTAATCATTACGGTTCAATATTGAGACTCGCTATATTTCCAGAGTTTTTCTTTCTACTTATGATATTCATGTACTCTTTATTTTGCCCAGGAGCCCCCACAGCTTGGGGGCGGGAGCTTGAGTCTCTGTGTTTGTTTTTCTCAGACCCATATAGATTACGTTCCTTGGTTTCTTTGTTTTCTGCCCTTTCTTGTTTGGTCTTAGCTCAATGGGCGGGGCCGTTTACTAATACTCTGGTCCTCTCCCTCTTTTTTAACGCTTCTTTTGGACTGGCCCGGGCGCAACAGATAAACTACAGGATAAGGATAAGTTTTCTCTTGAAGAACAGGAGGAAGAGAGGAAAGAAGAGAGAATTTCAGTTACAGCAGAGCAGCTAGCTTCCACAGAAATTAGGTCTGAGTTCACTGAAACAAAGACTGAATTTTATGAGAGTAGAACTGAGGTTTCTGAAAAGGAAGAGAGAAGAGGAACCGATCGGGATGTGAGCTTTACAGAAAAAGTTGAGGTCCGAGAGACATTCAGAAGTTCAGAGCCCACTGAGTACCATGTGGCTGAAGAGAAAGTTCTTCAAAGCGAAGTTGTTACTGACCTTGATGAAGAGGAAGAGACATTTCTGGAGACTCGGGAGGAGTACATAAAAGACGATGAGAAAGAAGTGGTGGAGACGTTTGAAGATGCAGAACGGTATGAAGAATCTGGAGAGAAATTTGAAATGGCGAGAGAAGAGAGGCAGCCCCCGACTGTCGTCCAGATGGAGGAGGTGACGAGGTTTGGAGAGGAGGTAGAAGCAGTGGAAGAGCTGGAGAGAGAGGAGACGGTTGCGGTGCGAGCGGAGGAGATTCTTGTACCGGCCGAAGAAGCTGAGGTTCTCGTGGACGAAACTGTTCAAGAGGAAGACGTCAAAATGGTGGTCGCTGAGGTTGTTGAAACAAGTAGCCGTGAGGAGGAAGAACAGGTTGTGGAGGAGTATGTGGAAGACGTCCGGATGTGTGCTGACGTGAATACTGTAGAAACAACCCATGTTGAAGACTTGGCGATGACAGAACCTTCTGAAGATGTCCTAGTGGATGAGACCTCCGAGGACGTGGGGAAGTCTGTAGGTGATGTGGAGGAGAAGCCTACTGGCTTGACAGACGAGTCGCCCATTACAGATCCAAAATACACATCTCTTACAGACCCGCTAACTCAGGATCTGGTGAGAGAGAAGGTGGAGACGATAGAGGAGGTTGTAACACATATGGAGAAAAGGTACGAGTTTCAGGAAGAGCACACTCGTGAGGAGTTTTTGGTTGAGTCCCAGGAAGAAGTCAAGTCTGAGCGCAAAGAGTCTCGAGAACATATGGAGAAAAGGTACGAGTTTCAGGAAGAAGACGCTCATGAAGAGTTTTTGGTCGAGTCCCAGGAAGAAGTCAAGTCTGAGCGCAAAGAATCTCGAGAGGAGTTTATGGGACGAGAGTACAGAAGTGACTACACAGAGGACATGAGCGAGACCACACAAGACTTTTCTGAGATCAAAAGCGAACTCGTGGAGTCACTAGAAAGTCAGTACGACATCGATTCTCACAGAGACTTTGACACAGACCGTGATCAGCCTTCTGAGAGTCGTGAACAGGATCGGGATGAGATTGAGCCTGCCAGAGAGCCCGAGGCTTACAAGGACGACGTTGCTGGGGACAAGTATGTCGAACTAGTGCAGACTCCTGATGATACGGAGACTCCAAGAGAGATTGTCATCGAGGCTGTAAGTCACATGAGAGTTGAGAATGAAGGGCAGCATTTTGCTGTCACGTCTGTGGTATCGGAAACCTTTGAAGACCAACGAGAGGGGAGAGGAAGTGAGATGGAGGTTATTGATGATGTCAAAGAAGAAACCACTTTGTTAGATTCTGACGTGGGTGAAGTTAAAGTGGCTGAAGAGCCTGAGCCTGCAGATGAAATACCTGATGTGCTGGGGGTTGAAGAAGAACATCTCGTTGAGGAGACAGTGGAGAGGGTGACAGGAGAAGAAGCTGAAGTTACCGAGGCCGTTCAGGAGTTTCAAAGTGATGTAGTGTACGATGAAGAAGACAAAGAAAACATTGAGCCTGCAAGCGCCATGGATGAGGGAGACGAGTATGGGACGAGTCTGCCTCCGGAGTCGTGGCGTGGAGCGATGGCTCCATCTGTGCTCCGGGCCCTGGATCGGGGAATAGATGAGGAGTTGGATAGTATCGCGGCCACTGCGGGTAGCGATGATGGTGCTGATGATGAGGACGACCGAGAGAGGGCCTTGGTCTCTGGGGAGATATCCGACGAAAAGACATCGGATGAGAAGTGTGATGGTGTTGATGAAGACGAGGAGGAGGGAGCGTATGATAGAGGCTTTGAGCCTGCAGAAGATATGGGAGAGAAAGAAGACCACCAAGAAGCGTTAGATGATAGGAATGTGGAGGAACCCTTCATCAGTTATGAGGTCAGACAGAGTGAGATTAAGGTTTCTTCTCTGCCAGAAGAGGAAAAGAAAGAAATCCAAGAAATAGTCAAAGAAGAAGTTCATGAGACATTCGCTGAGTCTGAAGATCACCAAGCTATGGCATCAGTGCCAGACGAAGAAGAAGAAGTGATCGAAGCTTTCACAGCCTCTCAAGCTAAGCAAACCAAAGCTGGCATTTACGCTCTCCCAGACGAAGAAGAGAGTGAAGTGGAGGAAGAGAAAGATATAGTGGAGGTGAAAGAAGAGATGAGAGCTACGTCAACAACGAAGGTGTCTCATACATTTACTCAGGAGTTGTATGAGGAACATAACGTATCGGAGTCTCAGAGGATTGTGCCCGCGGATGACGTGGACTCTCACGATGGAAGGAAGGAGACTGGCGTTTCCACTTTGCCAGATGAGGAAGAAGATGAAGTGGAAGAAGTCACCGGGCAAGATGCTGTTCATGAATTTGAAGTAAAAGAAACATTGGTCGGAGTTTGCTCTGTCCCAGAAGGTGAGGTTGAGGAAACGAGAGATTTTCTAGATGGTGGTGTTGAAGATGAAGATGATGAGGATGAGGAAACAGAGAGTATGGAAATACCTGCCTTTGGTTCTGGGAGAGGGGGTGAAGATGAACTTAGTGAAGATGAAATGAGCCGACATATTGAGGATGATACAGCTGACGATCTGGCCGAATTTGAAGAAACAGAGAAAGCCATTGAAAATGGGTTGCTAGAAAAGGAAGATGCTGAGGATGAACTGGAAAAAGAACAGTCTTATCAGACATCTGAACAGTACTCCGAGAGTGTACACTCTACTGTTGTGCATGAGTACAAGTTTGAAACTCGTATGGAGAGCCTTGTATCACCACCACAAGTTGATGAAGAAGATCTGGCTGTTGGAGGTGCCGCGGCCGATGATGAAGAAGCTTGGGAATTCCTTGACCAGACGGAACTCACTTCTGAGGAGCTGGCCCAAGCGTCCACCCTGAGAATGGATGGAGATCAGGAAGATGAGGCAGAAGCTCTTCACCACCCTGACGATGAACGTGTGGGGGAACAGCAAGAAGGAACCGAGGACTATGGGAAAAGAGACAGTGTGGACATAGAGAAAGAGATTTCTTCTGAGGGACAAGTGGAGTACTCAGACTTCTTGGCAGAGTCTCAAACTGAGGAGGAAGATCAGTTCAAAATGACTGAAGATTCAGGTAGATTGGCCAAAGTCCATGATGAAAATGTGACTGAGGAAGAAAGGAAGATCCCCGAAGAGGCAGTCGAAGAGAGGCAAGAATCTGTTGAAATGAGACAGAGTTTTGATAAGGATATGGAGATATCTGAAGTGGAAGTTGTGAGTGTGACTGAAGAAAACACAGGGTTTAAGTTGCAGAGTGTTGATGATGGTCTTGCAGAACTGGCCCAGGATGAAATGGAAGGCACACCTGTTGAGGTGGAAGTGCGGAGATCCACAGAGTCATCTGAGGAGACAATGGTTCGTGAGGGGGAGCTGAGGGAGTATCAGCTTACTGAGTCTGAGACGAAAATAACTGCTCATCAGAAAGTACTTATTGAAACACGTATGGGATCCATTGAAATTGAAGAAATGGATGAGTCAGAAATGGCAAAAGAATTTGATACTGTCAGGGAATCTAGAGAGCAAGAGTTTTCTGAGCTTCAAGAGACCAAAGAGACGAGGCAGCAAGTTGAAGAAACATTTGAAGAGTACCAGATGACGGAGACCAAGAGTGAACAGAGTACTTTGGAGGAGTTTACGGAAATGTCATCTCAGCAGTTGTACTCCAAGGAAGAAACTGTGTCTGGTGAAGAGCACTATGCTCACACAGAAGAAATTGAACAAGAAACTCTTCTTATCCCGAGTCTTCCAGATGTGCCTCAACAGAGTCCGCACGTTTCCTCAGATGAAGATGAGGGAGACAAAGATAATGAGGCTGATGAGTTGGAAGAAGAAAAACTAACGACACAGGAGGTTGTGGATTTGAAGGTTCAAAAGGACGAGTCTGAATCTATCTCTGAAAAACCGATTGGCTCATCACCAGAAGAACAGGAGGAAATTGAGGACTATGTTGTTGAAGAAGAAGAGCTGGATGTGGATGAAGAACTTGATCAAGAGATAGAAGAACAAGATCAGCTTACTGCTGCCCTAATTTCCCAGATTTCAAGGGCAGACAGCGAGGAAGATGAAGAAGATGGCGTTGACTTAGAGGAAGAACAGCTTGAATTGACAAGACAGATGGACTCAAAATTTGTCACCGACCTCCAGGAGAGCCATCACCTCATCACAGAGTCATCTCTGGAAAAGATTACAGAAAGGTCAACTGACAGCGAAATGACCAAGAGTCAGGAGATATCAGATTCCATCTTGGAAGAAAGAGTGGATAAGTCGCCCAGAGATGACGGGGATGGTGGACAAATGCTTATGGAGAAACTGGACACAGACACAAAAGATACGCCTTCAACAGAGGAAGGGGACTACTCAATGAAGACTGAGCCATCTCTGAAAGAACTGAAAGAAGAGGAAGAAGAGGAGGAAAGAAAAATGTTGGAAGAAATGGAACGTGATGAAGATGTGAGTTCTGCTTTTGAAAAGTATGAGCATGAGCCTGAAGTCTCTATTGCAATTGATGCCAAAGTTGGAGAAGTAGCCGAGTATGATGTGGATATTGACAAGGCATTTGAAAAATATGAAGATGAGCCTGAAGTCTCAGTTCCCATTGATACCAAAATAAAATCATTGGATGAGTCTGAAGAAGAGACCAAGGAAGATAGCATTGAAAGGGCTGAGGAAACATTAGAAGTGGCTGCTGTTTCTGTAGACCAAATAGACTCTGCACAGGAATCGGCTGACATGGTCTATGGGGAAGAGCCAATAATTCTAGAGCATCAGGAGAGGGAGATTCCGCAAGGAATTGAAACTGTCGAAAGTGTGGAGGATGAATTGTACAAGTTGGAGCAAGAAGAAGAAGCTTTAGATAAACAACTGGAAGCCTTAAAAGAAGTAGAGACTCAAGAATTGCTCTTAGAAAAGGAGCAAACTGCTGAAGAGCATTTAGAGACCACGGAGGAGAGTTTAGAGGTTACCCGAGAAGATACGGAAGTTCATTATGCAGAGGAGAAGACTGTTGAGACAAAGGAAGTTGAAGAGTATGAAATTGAACTCAGTAGGGCAATTGTACAAGAGGCTCTACATACAAGTATCGAGACCACTCGAAGGCTTGACTCGGAGAGAGAAGAGATGCAGCAGCAGATTGTGGAGGAAGAAAAGGAGCAGGTGGAGGTTGTGCCTAGGTCAGGCATCATGGCTGAGATGCAGGAATTAGAGGAACAACAAGCGAGGGATGAAGTCATGTCGGAAGATGACCTGGACGATGACCACTATGATGATGAAGAAGGAGATGAACCTGAGCTTGAGGATAGAGATATCTCTCAACAGCTGGCCGAGGATTTGGAAGCTCATGACATATCTGAGGCAGGGGATGAAGTGATACCTGATGAAATGGTGCAATCAGTGGACAGGATTGAAGAGTTTGTAGTAGAAGAAAGAGTGACATCTAGTGCCCCTGTAGAAATGACAAGATCTGTTGATCACATTGAAGAATTTGCTGAACAAGAAAGAGATACCAGTATTCCCCCTGTGGAAATGACGCAGTCAGTGGACAGAATTGAAGAGTTCACTGAAGAAGAGAGAGATACAAGCATTCCCCCTGTAGAAATGACGCAGTCAGTGGACAGAATTGAAGAGTTCACTGAAGAAGAGAGATATACAAGCATTCCCCCTGTAGAAATGACGCAGTCAGTGGACAGAATTGAAGAGTTCACTGAAGAAGAGAGAGACACTGGCATCTCTGAAATGACGAGGTCTGTAGACAGGATAGAAGAATTTACTGTGGTGGAAAGGCAGACCGATGAATCTAGAAAACATGAGTTGCGAGAGAAAGACATTTTTGCAAAGGGATTCTGTGTTACACTGCATACAGAGTCACATGAGGATATAGAAGTTAAAGAGGAGACGCTTTTGACTTCCCACACAACTGTAGATGAGGCTGTTCAAGATGAGGAGAAAAAAGGGGAAGAAACTGACACCATTATCAATGATACATTTGTCGACAGGACAGAACATTTCTTGGAATTGATTCCGAATGTCATAATTGTTGATGGTGAAGGGAAAGATGGACCATACACAGCACAGACTTTTGGTGGAGGGTTTGGATTTAACGCCCTGGGTAGCATTGGACCCCGAATTGAGAGTGACTTTACACCGTCATCCTCAGACCAGCATATGAGAGGCGGATACGACCAGCCACAAGGACCTGTTGATGGACTCAATATGGGTTTACATCTCCCAAGGTCTCCATTTTATCCGACATCCTCTACAGAGGTTCAAGATCGATCGAGCTCTCCAAGCGACCTTGATGAGGAAATTACAGAAATGGAGCAAATGAAAAAGATGCAGCAACAGCAACAGCAGCAGCAGCCTCCTGTGTTCTCAGAGGACTCCAACCAAGAAGAGCTGATCATCTCTGAGGATGTAGCTCCCCAACAAGGGAGCCAAGTTTCAAGCAATTCCGACAGACATGAGACCTTCCATACACCGGCCTCTACCTTCATGTCCTCCAGTATCTCCGGGTCAGAGTACACGTCCCAGAGCGATGTAGACTACGTGCAAAGCGGGGAGACCACTGGGACTGGTTCGTACTTCACAGCACCCAGCGAGGTGATGAGCAGCTCCAGCTACACGGCTCAGAGTGAGACCATGACTGGCTCCGAGTGCACGATGACCGGCTCTGAGTACGACCAGGAAGGAGGTGATGCTGATGAGGAGTACGAGTCTGAAGGACGCATCTCCACTGACATTTCTCAACAAATCTTTATTGAGAGGACTGTCATCTCCAAGCGCATTGCTGAGGAGCCGTCGTCTGAAGACGAAGAAGCTGATTTAGAGATGGATCGACTTGACAGACCACCGTCACCTTCAGAGTTTACCCTCATTGCATCTCAAGATCAGGAGGGTTTGAACCGAGTGTTAGGCTTAACTTCTGAAGCATCATCATTAACATCATTAACGACAACCACTATCACTTCAAATAACACAGTGATTGAGACCACTCAGTATGATTCTCTCCAAGTCCAGAAAGACTCCGATATTGAAAAGGACAGCCTTCAAGGAGATGATGACGAGGAAGAAATCGAGCAAGAGGAAGACGAGGAGGACGATGAAGTGGAGGAGGACGATGATGACGGTGGTCGAATGAGCGTTGATGATCTTGTAACAGATCGGCCCCCATCTCCTTCAGACTTCACCCTCATCGCGTCACAAGACCAGGAGAGTCTGAACAGAGTCTTTGGGCTGGATACGGCACAGTCACCAGAGGAAGACAAGGATGAAGGTAAGATTTAGTCACATCATCTTTGTTGTTTTAAGATCATTTTTTTTTTCGCAAAAAGAACTGAAATCAATTTTTTATTTTATAGTTTCAAAATGTTGGTGTTATGTGGTAGAAATAACAATCAAACAATCAAAATAGCAAGTTCAATAGATGAACACTTTTACTGGTCATTGCAAAGCTGCACATTGTGTTGACACATGGTAATCATACTCTGCTCAAGGACGAAAGGCCACTAATCCAAAAGCTAACCACACAATGTGGTGCTCTAAAGGTCAAGAGAATTGTTTACTGGCCTCTAGGCCATGGGGGCCTCTCTGTATAGCTCTCATTTCCATTAAAGGCAACGCTCTTTAACCATAAAAGGTGGCTATAACAGCTCAGGTTCTATAGCTAGGAGATGGTTTCCTTTTGTTTTTGTTTTAGCAAGAAGATTTTACTTTGGATCGATGATGAGCCTATGATATAATATTGGATTAACGAAGAGCCTATACTTTACACTTGTACTTTAGAAAAGATACATATAGGCTGACTCACCAAACTTTTTTTTGTACTGATCAATACTTAATCATTAACATGCCCATCTCTGAGAAATGTTAAGTTATTTTCGTTTGTATTATATGACAAATTGAATAAGAAGTGTAATGTATTTGCCTGTTTTTGGAGTTAAAAAATTGTTTTCCTGAATATTGTGCTCATATCTTATTGTCTGCATTTGAATATTGTAAAAATATTTGTAGCTTTTTAAAAATGCTGCCAAATATCATTAATGCAGATTAAAAGTCTCTGAGATTGAGGATTTTTTTTTTTTACTCTTTGTGTCTCTTTGAATGACAACATAGTAATTTTTGTCCAACTTACATGCAAGTTAGTTTTGTTAAATGTGTCTGTGGTGTAATTTTTAGGCTACTTGCCATGCATGTGGAAGAATTGGGTTCATTTCCCTGTTAAAGAAATTTATAAACCCATTTTTTTTTCTTCTGGGATGCTGTGGATCCCACTCGACCAGATTAGTTCTTGTGGGCAAGGTTATCCCTCTTTTTACACTGACTGTTGTATATTTAAGACTCTCATCAATTTTGAATGTCAATCCTGTATGTTTTCTAACGAGTGCTGTTCAATCTTTTATGTTTTTCAGACTCTCCCATGCAGTGGGAACAAGAGCTGGAGAGAGCCTGTGTGGAAGTGGACGCCCAGTCAACTGCCTCAAGCGACGCTGCCCTCATGATAGGCCTAGACCGTGTATATGCCAGCGGTGGGGAGAATAACACAATGTCGGGCGTGAGCTCGGAGAGTGGTCAGCCCCTGGATGGGGTGGACTCTCCCCTCAAGGATCAGTTTCTTGCCGACTCACAGGATGAGTTTGAGGACCGACATAACATTTACGAGGCTTACTTGAGGAAAATGGAGGATGCAGAGGCTGTTGATAAGGAGGATATTCTGCAGAAAATTTCTAAGCTGTCTGAACTTGAGAAGGAAGAAGGAGAAGAAGAAGAAGGTGAAAGATATGAGTCAGAGAATGTTGATGACTCAAAACGCACGTCTCAGGTGCTGAGTCATGATGAGACAAATGAGGAAAGCACATTTGAACGAAAAGAGAAAACACGAGAGGAGGAAGGTTTCGACAGCAGGGCCGAGTATAGCTCTCCTCAAGCTCATTTCGTTGGCTTTTCAGAAACACATCAACTCGGAGAAGGCGAACTCCAACAGGAGGTACAGGAACATGGGGAGGAACACAAAGAGCTTGAGGAGAGCTGGAAAATCTCGGCCCTTGAAGATGTTAAGAAAATGGAGGATCTCGAAACAGCATCATTTTCCCGTGAGGCAAAAATGGAAACTTCCGATTCTCTCATGACCTTTTCAGAAGAATCCTGCGAGTCTGTTCAGAAACAGTACTCAGAAAAGTCTAGCTACTCTCATGTCTCTCACGAAAGGTCGGAAACTTCTGTTATGTTTTCTCAAAAGATTGAGATTGTAGGGGGAGGAGAAGAAGCTAGCTGCTCCACAAATGAGTTTCGCCCCAAAGTGGTAGAGGAAGAGTTAAAATCTGGTGCTGACCTGGTCTCCGGTGGTGTTGAAGGTGAGTCCATCACTCATCAGAGCATCTTTCCACTGCCAGCAGTGAGTCATCTATTGTCGCAGTGGTTAAGCTTCTGTATCATTCATTCTGTGGTTCCACCCACTCTTTCCATCCAGTGGCTGGTCATAGCCATGCAGGTGCCTCTTATATTCTAACTTATTCCCTTACACCCCCCCACCCCACTTTCCCATTTTACCCCACCCCCGTTTTATCCCTATCCCCACTTTTTTTACAACACCATTTATTTAATATCTCAAAGAGTTATTTTTTCCTCCTCCCTTTTGCTTTTGAGACCAGTCCCGTATTCCTGACCATGTGTTCAGTCCCCCCACCACCTTTTTTTTCCCCTCTAAATAAAAGCTTTGTAGATTTTATAACGCATATTTAAGCATGCTTTTATTTTTTGTGCTTTTCAAGTTTTCCTTTGCCCCGAGTGAATAATATTAAGTGTAACAGAAAGATTTGTTTCCTTTTGTTCCTTTTTTCTTTAATTTGCACAAGGTCTGAATTTTGCAGACTCATTTTGCTCAAATGCTTGTTTGAATTCTACTGTAAGAACAGAAAACACCGAGTATATTCACCTGCATGGCAAATTAGCATGAAAAAGTTAAAGCTTTCAATCAAAATAGCTTCCCTGAATTCCTAGAATCATAAGTGCTCAACCAAATTGCCTTGGTTGCATGGATATTCGTATCTCTCGATATTACTGCAAGTCCAGGTGTTTGTACTCTGAAATGCTTGTGATGAGAAGAACGTCCGGCCAGCCCACTGTCCTCTCTCTCTCTGTGCCTTCTCTGACTGCACTACTTTCGCCCTGGCTTCTGTATTCTTGTATGCTTTAACGACATTCAGCTTGTCACGATACTTTGTCTCTGCTTTTGCATGTCTATAAAGAAATACTGTCTTGTTCGATGTTACTTCTGGTTTTGAAAAAAGTAATGAAAACCGGCTTCTTCTTTTTTTTTCCAACTGAATGTGTTTGGGTCATAGTGTTATATCGTTGTTGCTGTTTGTAGGTACCTGTTCTGTTTCTCAGGTGGATTCAAAACTACATGGTACAAGATGTGTGTAATCTTTGAGTTGTGCCGAGACTCTTGTGTATCAGTAGTGTGCTTACCACAAGGAAGAAGAGCTTTCCTACTCAGCCTTCAACAGTGCATGGAAACAACTTTCCCCTTCTACTTTCTGTCTGTTCATAGACTTTTAAGTGTGGCTGTATTTGACTTTTAATGCGGATCTCAGTGCAAAGATTGATGTTTCTTTCTGCACTCTGTTCTTGTTACCGACTGTATGTGTCTGCATGATCTTGAGCATCATGTGTCTCTTTTACTAGCATCACAAGCAAGATTTGATGAGGAGATTAGTTCCTATTTGGGGGGAGGGGGGTGACGGGCTGTTTCATTATTTAAATGCCCTAGATTGTTTTCACTTACACAGTCTGTTTCGTTTATCACCTAAAACATGTTGTTTTTTTCTCACAGATTGCCACTTCAATTTTAAAGAGATTTCTCTTATACCCGACTTTCACCAGTTTTTAAAATTGGAATCAAGTAAATTGTAATTTTACCTCGCCAACAAGCACTATCAGGCCAGCTCTTTTTCATCTTTCAGCAGTCAAGTGTCTTTAACCTGTATGGAATCGGCATGTATTTACAATAATTTTCTTGTACGGGACAACTGCAAGTATTTAGTTTCGGTTAGAGAAAGTCAAGGATCTATCATCAGGAATTATATGAAGGTTCTGGGAAGACCCTCAAGATATGTGTCTTGAACCAGTATTCACACCGGGCACTCTTGCTTGACAAGCAAGCTCTATACCTGTCTGCAACAAAGCAGTGAGGAGACCATCAAATCTTGCTTGCCTCATGTTGTTTTATCTCTTTCATTCCCCCATCTTTTTTTCCTGCAACTGTACTCCTGTTTGCTTTCCATTTCTCTTCATCGTTATGCTTTTCTCGCTTTGAAATTCTTGCATGACCTCTCTCCTTCATCTGGTTCCCTGAATTCCTCACCACTCAAGCCGTTTCAATGTGCTGTTCTGCTAACTTTCAGACATCAATGGCTTGTCCATGAAGAAAGTATATTTATTTTCAAATAGCCTTTATTGTAGAAAGACTTTTTATCAAACTGTCTTAGTATTTCCTTTCTTTTTTGTGTCGGAAGATGAAAATCTTATTTGAATTAACTGTTTTCTCCTTCACTTGTTAAATTTAACATTTTTTAAAAAACTGGCTTTGTCAATTCTTAAACCAGGGTCGATTTATGACAGCTGTCATTTACAGCAAGACGTCATATTCCTAACGTTCTTGTTAATTATACATTTTCTAATGATTTCATTTGTGTGGGTGTGTGTGTGCATGCATACAAATGTGCATGCATGCACTTGCGTGTTTTCTGTGTGTGTTGTTCTCCAAAATTTCTTCAGTGTTGCTTCCTGTCCTTTCTAAAACTGAATCCTGTTTATCCTCAACATGATATGCCCTATGCACGTCTGACGGACTTTCTTTGGCTTACCTGGTGTTCCTATTGATGTACAAAACTGTGTATCCTGGAAGGGCTGAAATGTAGGATCTGATCGAAAACCGAATGAAGTTTTTCTTTAAAGTTCTTTGGGTTTTGTTGTAGAGACTTACAATACTACTATGCAGAAGTCGTGTTATTCTCAGTAGGCCTACTTGAATCTGCTGGGATTTTTTTTTTTAACCTGATTGTCGTATTAGAAAACAGGGAAAGGGGGAAGGGTGGTTCTCAGCTTTAGCTTTATCCTAATCCTCCTGGAAGCACTCTGTTCCCTTCTCTTTACGCTTGATTAGAAAGTATAATGTAGACTTGTGTGTTGCTCTTGCTTCCTTCCCTGTAGCAGAGGAAGAAGAAGAAGAGAGGCGAGATGTCGTGGCCGCCATGGATATTCATGCCATGGATAAAATGAGTTCCTCCAGCTCGGAAGTCGCCCAGCTTGATGACTTCGATGATCAAGGTACTTTTACATGTGCCGCCTGACTGTTCTATGTTTTTTGTCTTTTGTAATTCATTATTTATCAGACTCTGAAAGTACTCATATATTTTTTTCCATGGACATCTTGTTTAGTTCAAAGGGCTTATACACTGAAATCACAGTCAAAAAATTATCTTGAAGGTTCATTTTTCTTTAGATTTTTGTTTTGGTTGCATGGTTTCCTTTGCCTTTAAAGTTTTGAGTTGCTTTTTCCAAATTCCAGTTTCTGATAGTGTTAATCCTAATTCTAATAGCACAGTTTTCATCTTCCACATCATTTGATGTTCTAAAGCCAAATGTTCCAATCATGTCCATTAAACATTCACACTTTCAAAAGCAGTGATCAGTAGTGAGCTCCATTGTTATGATAAGATGCAGGGGCTACACAATCACAAACTTTCATAGCGGAAATTTTCCACAGAGCCCCAAAACAACAACTTGCACTAACTTTTTTCCGTAGATGTTGAAATCCGTGAAGCGAGCGAAGAAGTATCGGAGGAGACCGATGTTGAAGACCAGTTTTCTCCAGTTTTAGCCCAAGCGGCTGGCCCAACTTTCACCTTTGATGCCCCATCTGTGTCCCCAAAGCAAGATGAAGATACAAAAATTATTGATCCCACCCCGGTAGAGCTAGCTGGGCATGAGGAACGATTTGAAGAAGCTTCCCACACTCAGGTAGAAACTGTCGAAGAAAGGCATGGGACTGTCTCTTTTGAAGTAAAAGAAGAACAAAAGGAGGTATATCAAGTGAGAGATGATGAAGAAGAAGAGGAGGAGGAGGAGGAGGAGCAAATAGATGACACTGAATTAGAACCAGAGCTGTGTCGTTTGGGTACAGCAGATGACCAGGATGAGGAAGACATTGATGTGGAAGATGAAGAAGTGGAGGAAGGAGATGAAGAGAAAGATGACAAAGGTGTTATTCAGACTCAAGAGGTTGTTGTGTCTGAAGCAGCTCAGGCCTTCATGGCTTATGAAAACATTGGCTTCAGAGAGGAGGAGGAGGAAGGGGATAATGTGGAAATAGCGCCCAGACCAAAGCCTGTGTTGGTGAAGCAAGAGACACGAGATATTTCACCCGAAGATTTGGAAGAGAAACCTCTCACCTCGGATTTTCCAGACCAGTATCAACAAGAGGGTTCATTTCACAGATATTACGAGGAGTCAAGTACAGAAGCTACAACTCTATCTGAGTTGCGCCAAGAACATGAGGACTTTGGTTATCTGAAAAAAGTGGAAGAGGAAGTAGTAGCAGTGGAACCATCAGATGATATTGGCGCTCCCGAGGCAGAAGCTAGAGAGAAGTCTGTGGAGTTTGTGGCTGAACCAGAACCTGAGACTCATGAACTGCTTCCTCATGAAGGAGGGGAGTCGGATGAATCAGAGGATGAGTCTGACACGTCATCTAAAAGTAGTTCTGACAGTGGTGGTGTAGAGGTCTACGATGAACGTACTGGGCAGTACACCAAGCTGCCCTGGGAAATAGCCCACCAGTACAAACGGCAGTTTTCTGAGTCATTTGTTGAAGAGCAGAGGTCCTCAGTGAAATCTCAAAAGTCAATTGACATGGGGTTGTTTTACCGACGGGACAAAGACAAGGATGAGGAGTTCCTAGACCAGAGGTTTTATGAGGATGATGATGGAGCCTCTTCCGACACGGGTACACCTCGCAGAGTCACATTTGAGCTTATTCCTGAAACAGCAGAGAGCTCTCACCTAAAAGAGATTGAGGAAGAAGATCTTGAAGACGGTGCAATGGGCGCAATGGCAGCATGTGAACCCTATGAAAGAATTGATGATGCTCACGAAGAGGAAGTCTTGTCAACAATACTGGAAAGCCGACAGCAGGTCAGAACTGAGATAGCTAGACAGGTGTATGATCAGGAGTTCCCTGAGACTCCTAAGACAGACAGTGAATATGAAATGGGAAGCGGGTCAAGTCGTCTACTGTTTGATGAAAGCGAAGAGGAATCTATGTTCACCTTTGGGGAAACAAATCGCTCTTATGAGATGCGATTGGAAGAACACCGCCACTTCTCATCCTCAAGTCGTTCAGAGGTGGTCAGTGTGGTCAGCAAAGAGTCACGCATGGCTCAGCAGGAGCTGTTGCTTCAGGAGTCGATGGACGAGGAGGATCGCTCTTTGTCTCCGTCAAGAGAGAGAGGCACGAAAATGCTAAGTACAACTTATGAAGAGTCAATCATATCACTCCCTCCAGCCCACCCAACACACTTCCCCATGGCTGTTCACAGCATTGGCAAGTCTCTGGCAGACAATGAAATTTATGAATCCTCTGAAACAGAAAGAGATTCCACCGAGGAGAAGTTGTCCCCCATTGAAGAGACACCAAGTGTGGATGAAATAGAAGAGGATGATACAACCCTGAAGTCAACGCCTCCAGTGGAGAAGAAAGTCACATTCCAGACAGACCGGCTTTGTACAAGAGTGTCAGAGCAGTCAGTAGAAGATTATAAAGCCTCTTCATCATCTTCAGAACTTTCTGTGGAGCCGACTCTTCTTGCTGCCTCTTATGATTTAGACAGTGGCAGTGTTTGCCACATTGTCACAGCTTTTGACATTTCCCCCGACACTGTTGAGAAACAGGGACCCATTGAAATAGCTGGGAAATCGATTTTGTCCAGTCCAGAAGATGATGTATTTGAAACTGATGCCTCGTCACCAAGCAAAACGCTTGCATCTGCGATAACCCATGGTACAGCAATGTCCCTGCGAAGTCCTCTGGTGTCTGGTGCAGACGTGTGTCCATCCCCGCCAGTTCCCATCGCGCCTGTCCCAACACCAAGAGAGGGCTCGGAGACAGTTGACAGGAGCAGTGATTTGTTCAATGCCAGCTCAAGGTTGGAATTGCTCAAGCATTCCGAGAGACTTGATTCTAAAGATGGTGATGATACAACATTACAGGATGATGACATGAGTTCTCCTCATGATGAAACCTCTGTTGCAGAATTGAAATCTGAGGAGAACTCTCCAGAGGTTGAGCTCTCATCTGAGCTTAAGTTTGTAGGCGTCACTGAGCAGAGGTATGAGGAGGAGGAGCAGGCTTCTTTGGCGGGTCCAGCTGCAGGTTTTGATTTCCCGACCACAGACTCTGATCAGGTTGTGATGGAAGATGTAGAGCATGCTCTCCCGAATGGTCCAACAGAAGTTGATTATATCCCAGAGTATGATGATATTCAGAGTGATAGGATAGCTGCGGCTGAACCCGCCCTTGGGCTTTCTCCAAATCAAGAGGAAACTGTAGAAGAGCCTGAATGCGTTGTGCCTGGTGTAATTGAGCCGTCATTAGTCTCCTCGTATGAGGCAAAACCAGATGTCCAGCAACCGCAAGAAGACACAGGAAGTGAACCCCCAGAAGTTGAGCAACCTATCCAAGCATCAGAGTCAACTGCCACTCAGGCAAAACCGGCAGTGGAACCCCCAGAAGAGGAGCAGGAAGACAGTTCCTCTCAGGGTATGGAAGCACCCATCCATCCAGTGGTTTCCTTTACATACGAAGCCAAACCAGATATCCAGCAAGCAGAGTCTGAGGAAGGTACAGGCTACCCTGAAGTAGAAGAACCAATTCAGCCTTCTGTGGCCTCATCATACAAGGCAAAACCTGATATACAGCAGCCAGAAGAAGAAGAGACCAGTCAGCCACCAATAGAAGAACCCATACAGCCATCTGTTGCTTCTACGCACAAAGCGAAGCCTGACGTTCAACAACCTGACGATGAAGCAGAGAAAGGTCAGCCTGAAATTGAAGAACCCATCCAGCCGTCTGTTGCTGCCTCTTATAAGGCTAAGCCAGATATCCAGCAGCCGGATGAGGATGCGGAGAAGGGTCAGTCTGAGATTGAAGAACCCATACAACCATCTGTGGCTGCTCCTGTTCAGGCAAAGCCTGATGTCCAACAGCCAGAGGATGAAACTGAGAAGGGTCAGTCAGAAATTGAAGAACCAGTACAGCCCTCTGTATCAACTACCTCTCAGGTTAGGCCTGACACCGCACAGCATTCAGAAGAAGAGCAAAGGTCAGACTCCATGGATGGGGAGCAGTCAGTATTAACACAGCAGGCAACAACTCAAATGTATGAGTTTGAGGAAATGGAGCAGCGTGACGTTCTGACTTTTACTACGCCAACAGAAATGGACATCGAAACTGAGAAAGAAGATGTTCTAAGGGCTGAGGCCTCAGAAGAAGAGCTCAGGGTCCACATTGAGAAAGATATTTCAACTATTGAGACTCAGGAAAAGGAAGAAGATCAGAAGCTGTATCTGTATAGTAAAGAATCTGTCTATCATGGGAAAAGAGCCTTAGAGAGTGACGTTCCTGTTGCGACGTTCAGTCAAGTCTTTGAAGAGAAAGATGAAATCGTGGGGGAAGGCTACGCTGTCGCCGGGGTTGAACCACTTTTACAAGATGAGCCAGACATGGCTGCTCAAGAAGGGGAAGAAGACTTGGAGCTTGAAGAAGAGGAGGAAGAGTTTGAGGAACGCCCTGAAGAGGAACTTATCAGGCTTGAAGAGCCTCCTGCTGATGATGAGTCAGAGGATGAAACAAGGGAGGAGGATGAAGAGAGAGAAAGATATTCTAAAGAGGAGGAATACGAAAGAGAATCTCCCACCCCAGACTTGCTGTGTGTGAGTTCTGGTTCGTACTCAGATTTGGACAGGCCGTTGTCCCCAACTCCTGATGCACTGAGGCAGGGCTTCTTTGGGGGCAACTTCACGCCTCCACAGAGTGGGATGTATACACCTCCACAGTCTGGACTCTTCACTCCTCCTTTATCACAGTCTACAACTGTCACTCCCCCACAAGTGGCCCAGGAACATAGTGAAGAGCCCCCTGGAGCAGAAGCAACAGCATTGGAGAAAACAGCCATCACGTTTGTCGACTCAATCCTTGAAGATGTGAAAGTCAAAGTGTCTTCTCAAGAACCTTCTCCAGTTGATAAGGAGGAGGAAGGGGATTTTGAGGGAATGAAACAAACTCAGACAGTTTTGGTCAAAGAAGAACATACAGTTGCAGAAACTCGGGAAGAATACAAATATGAGGATGATGTAGAGGAAGAGGACGTTCATGATGCAGAAATAGACAGAGAAGAAGAAGAATCACCTGTGCAAGAGGAGGAAGGTCATACTGAGGTTCAGTCCCAGTCCAGAGGTGTGACTCTTGTGAAACAGATTTCTGAAGACATTCCTGGCATCATCCTCACTCAGCATTTACACAAAGAAGTGGATGAAGATGAATTTTATGGTTATTCTGTCTCACCCAAGCCAGAAAGCATTTCAGAAGATGATGAAGATCGTTTTAACCGAGAGGAACAGGAGCAAGTTGAAGTTACTGAAGAACCAGAGGCAAGCCCTGAGACAGAGGAAGAGAGAGGTGAAAGTCCAGAGGTTTTGGAGGAGCAGGAAGACAGACCAGATGAAGAAAAAGAATGGAGGTCTGATGTTGAGGAAGAGAGGAAGGACACACCAGAGGTTTTAGAAGATAGGGATGGGAGTCCAGTGACTGAAGGAGAATCTAGCCCTGAGGCAGAAACGGAAGAAGAGAGTCCAGAGGCAGATGCAGAGGAAGAAGAAGAATATAGCCCAGAAGGGGAAGAAGAAGAAGACAGCCCAGAATTTGTTGGTTTTGCCGCAAAATACGCTGCGTCTGATAGTAGTTTTGGACAGATGGTCAATGTGGTCCAGTCTTCCACAAGCAGGGGTATTGTACAAGAGTTTCCTGAAGAAGAAAAACCTCTGACACCAACTGCTCCAGAAGAAGAGGAAGAGACAGGCTTTACAGAACCCAAACCAGCGGAACAGCAGCCTTTTTTAGTGAAAGCTGATCCTGAACCAGGCTTTACCTTCACACAGAGTACCAGAAGTCATTTTCCTGAAGATGTGAATGTAGACCTTGGCTCTGGATCGGATTCAATGGATGACATTCGACAAGAAGATCTTGAATTTGTGGAACGCCCAATCAGCCCAGACTGCTCTAGTTTAGACAGTTTTGCTACTGTTGTAGCAGCAGAGGCTGATGATGAGGATGAAGAGTATGACGATAATCGGTTGGCAGAGATAGCGTCTATGACATCCTCGTTTACATCAGATATACAGGTGTCTCACCCAGATGAACAGCAGAATGAAATGGCTGAAGATGTCAATGACACAGAGGAGGATGAAGATATGGGCATGGACAGATCTCAGGAACTGTCTTCAACTCCTGATGACAAAGACAGAGAAAGTGAATCTTCCATGGACAGCGACCGCTACGAGTTCGTAGACAGGGCTGCTCTCTCTATCATCACTGAAATTTCAGATGAGGATCGTTTTGAGATGATTGAGAGAGAAGAACTGGAATCAGAAGCTGGTCTTTCGGATCAGTTTGGGAGCTCTCCAGATGTGTGTGTTCAGCAGTCGCCAGGAGTCAGCAACCTCCGATTTTTCGGAAAACAGGTTGAGAAAGAAGAGGTGGTGTCTTCTGTTTCTTCATCTCTTCAGGAATTTGAGGCCTTGGAGAAAGCTATTCCTATTTCTAGCTCTTTGAGTTCTATAGACCGAGATGTTGAAAAAGATGTGATAGGGGGATCGTATGACGAGAGGAAACTCGTGGGCTTCCCAAAGCTGATTGAAGGAGGTGGTGGATCTGTTGCTTCATCTTTAGCAGAGTTTGAAAGAATTGAGCAGGAGCTGGTCATATCTAGTTCATCAAGCTCTGTAGAGAAGGAGAGCAAGAAGAGCAGTGGCAGTAAGAGCTCAGGAGGAGAGGAGGGAGATATTACCTGCAACTCTGTGTCCTCGTCTCTGGCCGACTTTGAGAGAATTGAGCACGAGTGTCAGCACGACTCAGACGACAAGAAATCCTCTTTGGATAGCTCCACCAGACCCAGTGAAGCCTCTTCATGCACTTCTCTCAACGAGTTTGAGAGACTAGAAAGGGAAATTGCTGTAGCCAGCGAGCTGGAGGTGGAGGCTCAGAAAATTGTGTCCATTTTGGAATCTGGTGTCTTGCTGCAGTCTGGTCAGTTTGGAAGCTCAGACTTCAGTGAAGTTGGAATGGGAGACGATCAAGGAGATGGAGATGGGGATTATCTTGGAGGGGATGAGCAGGATGATATCGATCATGATTCTCTCAGCGAAGGTGCCAGACTGGGTCATGAGGGTGACGCAGACTCCCTGGATGGCGACACATCTGAGATGACCGACATGACATCCAGTGTCGTCTTTGCTGGCCCTGACTTAGACACCATCCGAGCAGCACCACCTCCCTCGGCTGGAGACTTTGATGTGGACGCAGACTCGCTGGCTGGAGAAGCAATCATGCAACTGTCCTCAGACTCGCTGGTGCTGGAGCAGATTCTGAAGTCTTCTGATTCCACTCGTTTTGACACGGATTCATTACAGGAGCAGGATGACCGAATGATCCGATCCACAGATTCTTTGGAATTGGGAGGGCACTCAAGTGGTGGTCAGTCCAGTGAAAGACAGGATGAGTGGAGCCAGGACATGATGCAGACATCACAGACCTCAGCTGACTCGCTTGAACTTGATGTCAGCAAAGAAGAAGCAAAAGACGATGCAGAAAAAGAGGAACAACGGCCAGATGACAGCTTGATGATGGTGTCTGTCGAGTCAGCAGCATGGAGTATGGGTAGTTCTGGGGGTACAACGCAATCTATGTCCGAGTCTCACACAGACTCAAGCCAGTCCCATGACATCATGCAAGTTTCAGCAGAGTCTACTGAGGCTCATAAGACAGGAGCAGCTCCGGAGAAAAGCTTTGGCACTAGAGAGAAATCTCAGAAATCTGAATACATAGTATCGGAAGAAAGCCACCACCAATCACATTCTTTCCATCACAAACGAAAGGAAGAAAAAACAGAAAGCACCGTTCAGTATTCTAGCACCGGGGCTCATTCAACGAACCCATTTGAAGACAGAAGCAAATTGAAAAGAGATTCACCAAGACATTTTGAATGGGAAGAACCTGAAAAAGAACCAAATCCCTTCATGGCATGGGGTCCTTACCAAGAGACAAAAAAAGTTTACACTATGGTAGAATGGGAAGCAATGAAAAAAGCCAAACTTCAAGAAAGGGAAGCCAAATCTTCTTCATCCCCCGAGCTCTCCCAGGGTTCTGATAAAGAAGAGAAATATTCCTCCACATCCCCCTCAGGTGTAGAGTCTCCTCCCTCCCAGCTGATGGGTCTCAGCTCCACCTCCACCACATCTACTACAACAACCACATCCTATTATAGAGGTATTGGAACTATGTAACTGCTGTAGTGACTGCTTTTTTCTTCATTTGCTTGCCGTGTTCATGAGAAACAAACTGCAGTTGTTGTAAGAGAGCTGTGCTTAACAGACAAATTATCTTTTATGGAGTATAGCTGCAGTTGAAGTGTAAGAGACAGGTATGAACTTGAAACTCTCTTGATTACCTGTAAATCAAGTTTATTTTCTGGATAAAATGTTAGTGTTGATTTAGAAGTTGTGGCGTTGAACTTAACTTACATTTTAATGTAAATTATTCTGATTAAATTTATATAAGTTTTATTTTAAAATTTTTTATCAGTGGATTTAGAGGTCTCTATTATCAGATAATTTCCTTTTTATGTATCAAGCAGCAAATATTAAAGTCTTATCGCTTCCATGAAAACATTTTGGCTGTTAAGTGAATGTTTCTGAATGATTTGGATTTGGAACCATAATTACCAGCCATCATTTTGTCTTGGTTGTTTCAGTACATTTGTATAGTCCAACAGAGACAAATACTTAACATTTAAAGTGAAAAGTCATTAGCGTACTTAGTTATCATCCCCCATACAGCAGTGGACGAATACTTGCAAACTCTTTTGTACCTGCAGTCTGTTTCTCATCAAAGTCATGGTTCATTGCTGCTCATATCAATATGTTTTCTTTTTCATCTCACGAGTTTCACCTTCAGCCGTGCCACTGACATGAGTTTTCCTAAGTTGCTCTGTGCTTACATTCCTCTTTGTGTGTGTATACCTCTTTTTTATTTCTTTCTGTGTTGCTGATGAGTTTTAAAGTAAGTCTTGTTTGTTAATGCAAAGATACCTTTGTCCTATACTACGGGTCAGATCTGAACAAAGTTGAGTAACCGTAGTTCATATTTTTAATTTTTGAAATGGAGATTAGAAGAGAACAAGTTCGTGAAAGATTTTTTCTAAGAAAAGTGTCATTGTGCCATGATTATAGTAGTTCTGAGTTTCAACACATGGGAAATAATGGTCATGTTTTTACTGCCAAATGTCAAATATAGGCTATGTATTCTAATTCGAAATGCTTTTTTGATGCAGATATTCTATTTCTTATAACATAATACAGTGTCAACCAACAATTTTCTATTTCTATAGATAGGTCCTAACTTTGCAAATATTCTATTTTCCATTGTTTGGACTAGGTTATGTAGCAGGGTTGCTGATTACATCTTAGACGTATATGGATTAGACAGCTTATTGTTCCTGACATTGTGCTCTTTGTGATATTTCACAGGATAGAAAATAAAATGTGAGGCATAGTGGTGAAATCGGGCTCTTGTCAAAATAATGAAATCTAAGAAATCAGCATTTTTCGGTCAGTTTGGACTTTTTTTTTCAAATGTTTGTTTTTGGGCTCAACACCTTGTATGTTCATTCAAAAACACTTTTATATCTGGATATTATGGAAAAATGTTGAGTAACGGCACAACAAATTTAAATTTGCTATTTCCAAGGACTGTTAAGCTAAGGAAGTCACCAAACTTTGGCGGCCATTTTCTCAGTAATTTTACCTCTGAAACCAGGCGTCCCCACCTCCTTCAATCACAAATATCTGGATATATATTCGAGATTAAATGGATTTTGTTAACATCAAAAGCAAGGCAAATGAACAATCTTTAACTGGAGGAGCCACCCTAAAGGGCCATTTTCTATGTTTGTTGCCCGAGGTCAAATCTGAAGTACACATATATATATAAGTTAAGCATAGTAAAAAAATCTCTTGATATGCAATTTTATTTTGGCATAGCTACAGCGGTTGCTATTGAAACAGCTGCCATCTTGAAAATAAACAATGAATCTAAGGCTTTCTTATTAACCAAATTTGGTGAGAGTATACCTGAACCAGACTCTATCAGCGTAACAGCAAATTTTTTTCAATGAGTGCAAAAGAAAAAAAATGTGAGAATTTTCCCAAAGTATAAAAAACCTTTTCTAAATTTAGGTTGCGTAATCGCTTGCCAATGGAAAAATGTTTGGGTTTTTTTTTCGCAAATATCTCTCTGTTACATTGATGGCAGCCTTGCCATCTATGTTGCCTGAAAGTTCATGTCAAAAGGATGAAAACTAAGGAAGGAGTAGGGAAAAAACTGCGAAAAATGCGAAAAACAACAAATATTGTGAAAATTCACTATATTAGCCCACCCTCATGTTTTCAATGGCAATTTACGAGGAGAATAAAGACTTTCTCTATTGTCTCCATGCTGTTTTTAGACGAAGAACTGATTGATCTTCAAAAATCAGCCAACATCTCAATATGCATAGCTTGACCCAAAACGGCAAAATCAAGGGTCGCTTCTCCCCTTCAGATGACACAAATATGAAAATAGGATAGTAGATTAATGGTCTGTAACAAAGTGATTAAAGTAACAAAGTCACCATGTCTCTTGCCAGTAATGGGTCACTGATTTCAGCTGGGGGTTTTTTAGGGGAATATTTTCATTTTGGATAAATCTATCAAGTCATCAGGAAGCCTTTTAAAAAAAAACCCTCCTTTTCACAGACTAAAGGATTTGTATATCTAGAGATTGACACTGATGCTATGAAAATGTTCTCTGCTTCGACACAAGACTTGAGAAATGCCGGATCCTATCGAAGCTTTTGAGGTTGCTTAACTTTCATTCTCCATTGAGACCAAGCTCATTGTGTTCCTGTCTTTGTCAAAATTAAGATTGTTCTGGTTTCTAGTTTAACACTAGCTTTGTACCGGGAGAGACGAACTTTATGTAAATGCATGTGTGTGTTGTGCCCCTCCTCCTTCCCTTTCCCCTCTGTTTTGGTAAATCTTTAGGTTTTAGATAGGGTGTTCTGATGTGAGGGATGTGATAGCATCATTATGCACCAGTCTTGCAACATCGGGTGAAAAGCCAGTCACTGATTTCATGCCTACATCAAACTAACACTAGTACAAATATCACACTGTTCTTTCAAATTCTAAATTGAAACAACAGATCAGATTTATTTATCAGTAGATATTTTACTCTGTCTTGGCTCTTTTGAGCTCAAGGATTTATCCCTGGAGTGTAGAGGCAATGTAATAACAGTGAGAACTTTTGTTGTTGTTAGCCCTTGAAACTTTAAGTTTTTTGACACCAAAAGAAAGAGTTTCTCTGATCATTAACTTTTTGGGGTGGTTGGAGGGGTCCTCTTGTAGGTCTTATATGTCCTTTGCTATCCTTTGCTGTTTCTGTCGCAGCACTAAGTGCTGGTATCATGTTGCTGTGCCTCCCGTATACTCGCTCAACTTCTAACAGTCATTTATTTATTGAGTTTTCTACCAAGTATTTTTTTTTATATTGTGTAAAGCCTACAAAATTTACCAGCATGTTCTCCTCTGCTTTGGGTGTTCAGTGTCAGCTGAGTTCGCTTTCCTTTCATACTCATTAGTTTCATGAACTCATGACTGTGATTTCATTCCTCATTAAGTCACTCATAATGAACCAAAATTAGTATTGTAATGTTATGGTCAATTTTCTGTTGTTTGTTTTTCCTTTCTTCTACATTTGTGGTATATGGTGGTAGTCAGTACAGTTATCAGTGGTTGGTTTAGTTTTGAGGTATTGGTACATTTGTTTTGTTTTGTTTTGTTCCTGTCTGTGTGGTATTATCTCTTTATATCTTTAGTTCTGTGTAGGGAAAGCTATTTAGTTGCATACAGTACAGTATGGCTTTTCTCTGTAATACAAGAAAAAAGAAGAGCTTTCTTCATGTGAGACATCGTTAACCCATGCAATATTTGGGTAACTTTTATGTCAAATATCGGTATAAAAGTGACAACAATGTAAAATGCTCACTAATTGAAATGGAATAATTAACAATTCTCCAACTGTGGTAAACTAATTTTTACTTGGTCTCATGTAACACATTTGCTCCTCTCAATGTACAAATAGTGAAAGTAGTGAATACTTGATGCTTTTCTTTATAGGTTTTTTTTTTCCTTGCTTGCTTGGCACAGTGATATTTTTTGCAACTGACGATAGTTCAAATCCATTTTTTCCCCTTTATTTATTTCCAGTCTGGTAAATTAATATTTATGGAGGCCTCAGCTTGCTAATTAATCTTAGTTGCTTTTCTTAGCTTGTCTTTGGTTGCTAAAGAAATGCATTGAGCTTTTCTGTGTCTTCCCAGCAGGTACGAGGGCTGTTCACGAAGCTCACACGAGCGAAGAGGAGGAAGAGAGAGCAGGTGCTGGCCTTGACCTTGACACATGCTCGGGATAGAGCTATCCATGTCGTGGCTTCTACTCGTTGGATGTGACTTCAGTGCACTTCTGGGCACAAATGCCTTTTTTTGTTTTATCGTTCTTTTGTTTGGCTTGTGGCCTTTTTTATTTTTACTTTATGTGCCACAGGTCGACATTTGTTCTTTTTTGTTCTTAGTGTGGCCCATTTGTTTCACCTTTTGGACCATTTGTTTTTCCAGTATTCGCTGTTACTGTATCTCTCCCATTGGTTGACATGTTACCCCCTTTTTTTATTACTTTGTTTTTTTAATTTGATCATTGTCTGTGTCTTTTTCCAACCTGAGTTGTTACATGTGAATGTATCCCCCCACCCCATGTGTCCTTAAATGTTTTGTATTTTCAATGTCTGCTTTTTTGTGATCATCTGTGATTAGTCTGGATTTCTGATTCCCCAGATATTTTATCTTGCACCTTTATCAAATTTTACCATTTTCCGTCTTTCCTCTTCCCTCAAATGCTATGACATTCTGATGTAATATTATATTAACAATTATTTGGAGTCCCTCAAAGAGTTCACATTTTCTTTATTGTTTCATGAAATTTCAGAATGTTCAGCCTTTTGCCCCCTAGCCCTTCCTCCTTACGGATCATGTTTCTGTTTTGTTCCGTTTTTAGGAGAGGCAGGATAAAAAGATTACTGTAACTCTTGGTTTATGTTTCATTTTGGTCTTTACTTCACTTTCAGTATACTTTATTTGTAATCCCTGTAAAAACTTTTGTTCCAAGTACTTTTTGTGACAAAGTTTGTTCAAATTATTATGCTGTGTTCTTTTCTGTTACAAATGCCCTTTGTTGCTGCAGAAATGTCAGTCCTCATGTATATGTACATTGCTGTTTGCAGTTTTGCTTGTTTTTGTTATAGCCTTTTTTGTATTTTTCACTTTTATATTGAGCATGATGTCTTTTGACTCAGATTTGTCTTTTGTGATAGCTGGGGCCGTCATCACTGTTTGACAAAGACAAGTACAAGTAAATAGCTGGTTTATTTTTGTTTCAGAAAGGCATGAAATCATTCCACTGCATCCAGAACACCTGTCCCCTTCGTCGCCTCCGCCCCATCTTTGTCTCTCAGCTCTTCTACAAATACCATTTTTATCATGCAGCATGATGCTAAAGTTTGGACTCATATGATGTCTCGTTTGTGAATCAAAGAATTTGGTTGGCGAAGTCCCAATATCAATAGCCCTGCCCGTGTTGCTACTCTGCACGTGCATATATGGGAATAAAGAACTATTCATATATTCTCTATACGGTTGTTGATGCCAGAAAAATGAGCTGTACTAATGATTTTTAGACAGTAAGGCAAGATCAAACTGTGTTGCTCATTTTTCTTGTGACAGTAACATGGTAAAACTAATGTTATCTCGGGTCCAAACTTCTGCACATATGATTGATTGATGTTTTGACTGTATAGTCAATGTTTCCATCGCACGCCCAGTTCTGAGCATGCTTTTATATATATTTTGTCTTGTCCTGCCCGTTGTATGCTGTGTCACTTCCAGAGGTTTCATACTGAGGATTGTTCGGTTACTGACAGAGTTTGCAAAAAGTTCACTTCTCATTCAAACACATTGATTATTTTACTAAGATTGTGGGCCCGTGAGCAAGGGTGTGCTCACACTATGAGAGATGTTGAAATTGCAAAGAGAGGAACTAATTGTGTATGAGTGTCTGTGAAAGAACAGATAGAATACATAAATTGTAGTCAAATCGTGTGTGTGAGTATATATACATTAGTGTGTCAGTGTGCCTATGTGCTTGCGTTTGTGTGAAATTGGAAAGACAGGAACTAAATGAGTGTGGGTGCTGATGTGCATGTCTGTGAAAGAGAGAGAAGGAATACATAATGCTAGCCTAAACACGTGTATGTATGAGTATACGTTAGTCTTTTTTAAGTGTCCACATGAGTTTGTGCTTGTATGCGTGAGTAGGTGGGTGGTTTACGGGTGCTCGGCTGTGATTTGCTCCTTCTTTCCTATAAAAAATCTATCGTCTCTATCTCCCCTCCTCCTTTTACGTGTTTGTTACCCTCTTGTTACTCAGCACTTATATGACCTTAATGTGTTGCAAGTGCCGTAAAACTCTTACCAAAACTAAACTAAACTATGCGTGAGTACATGTGTGTGTGCGTTACAGATTGATGCACTGGTATATTTACTCATCAAACCACACCTAAGTTTTTTTTATAATAATGTATGGTTTCCCTGCTTGAGCTGTGGCAACAACTTAATTTAATGGAGCATGATTTTACTTATATTGATATCATTAAGATGAAATCATGGTTAAAATTAATGTTTATTCTAGACTTGGTACAACACATTGTAGTTTTATGCCTCATCTAAATTATAGATATCAAAATTCACTGTCCTTAAAATAATTTGCTGAATATGCCTTATAAAAGTATTCTACAGACGTTTCTTAATTGTCAAATGCTCATTGAAAATTTCCCTACCCTTAAAACAGGAGATGAGTCCCGGGGGTCTGCTGCTCAAGGAGACAGTGATGAAGTGGAAACCCACAGGTGAGCTCCTGCCCCTTCCTGGACCCTGTGGCTTTTTTACCCTTTTGTTCCGAGAAAACAACAAAAACAAAACTCTGGCTTGCTAGCTGATCCTTGTTTATACAATTCTCGACCATATGGCTTACTGGTGACGACACTACTGTGTCAAGATGTGCTGTCATCTTTTTAAAATGAACTTAACATAAACTGTAAAAGAGTGTTTTATTCCCCCAGCGTATAATTTGTATGTGTTTATTTGGGAGGTTTGGAAGGGGGGGGGGGGATGTCAGGCGAGGTAATTGGCCATGAGATATGGTTTTATTTACTTCAAGCCTTTTCAATACTTTTGCTTTGTATCAAGGAAAAAGCTTGTCTTTAATCTAAGATGGTTTCTTTAGTAGAAGGATTGAAGATACAAGGTTTTTTAACCATATTTCTCCAGATTACCCACTGGTGAATATGGGGGAAAAAACTGGATAGTCTGTGCCTTCTTTCTGTCTTTTTCCATCTTTGTTTACATTTTTCTTTCTTCTTCTGCATTCACCCTGGGCCAAAGTGCTGTCCACTTTTGAAGAGACATCTTTGTCTTGTAGGGCATTAAAACTGGTAAAATTGCTTGACAAATTTTCATGACTGGTACAGATGACCCTGTTATATGATTCAAAAAGAGTATTGTTGAACTTCGTTAGTTTGGGAGTTTTTCATGACTTTCCACTCTCTTGGCTCAGTCCTGTCATAGATGGAAGTTGTGCAAGAGGTTGCACCTGTTAATGACCTTATGAGATAAAAAAGACTTGAACCTCATAAAGAACAAATCCACACCTTTCCCTCTCTCTGTTTTCCCAGGCTGATGATGAAAAAAGAGGTTCACAAGAAGACGACCATCGGGCCCGACGGCCGTGAAGAGACGACCATCCACGAGGACTCCCAGGTCCAGCAGGAGAACGAGCCGCCCGAGGAGCTGAGAGAGTCCATGCAGGAGATCATCAACCAGTTCATGGAGACAGACCCACAGCCCGCACAGTTGCCCGCACCTGAGTCACACGAGGACGAGGTCTAGATCAACTCTAGTAGTAGTAACTAATGCAGGGCTCTTAGCACTACAGAAACTTTCAGATTTTCCGTGAAATGAATTTTGTCATATTGGTATTCAAAGTATAAAAAAGACTGTAGATGTAATAAAGTTCATAGCAGAACAAGATGATGTAAGAGTTCATAAGAAAAGCAGATAAAAGAGTGTCATGTTATGGTTCAATGTGAACTGTGTTTTTCTGCTTAATTTTTCTGAGAAACACTGAATTTGAAATGGTTTTCTATGTTTTTGACTTTTCCAGAGAGGTGTGTCATTGCACTTTGAGCTTTTGAACTCTTTTTCTCTTCTATGTTGCTAACCTTTTGATGCAATCTATGGGATCTATTTCATTCTGGTATTTATAGCAGTCAGCTCCAAGGAAATCTTCTAGTCTACAGGAAATACAATTTTTTTCTGCGAGTGCTCTGAGCCCTGGTCTATGGGAGCTCTCCTCTTTGTACTTTTGTGGGTCCCTATAGCTGCTCCGAGTTCTCCATCTCTGTGTGTCTTTGTCATGGGCTTTCTCCGCTCTTTCGTGATATAGCCTTGCTGGAGAATAGCGTGGGTGCTGAACTTGTACTTTCTTGTGATCTTGCAGAAGATTTTTAAGGGAGGTGACGTTTCAGGTTGTGCTGTGGAAGATAGAAGTTCCAGTTACTGTTATGGTCAGGGCGACAAAGGTTTTTGAGACTGGTAGGCTCCGTGCTACCTAGAGGGGTCGGGGAGAGCTCTCTGTACTTTTTTCCCTTAGAACATTACCAAATTACAACTGATAACTGAGAAATGTTTAGAAGATGTACATGTTTCATGATGCGATTGTCAGAGTCAGAGGGGTATTTGGGTTGCTGGTTCTTTTCATTACTTTTGCCAAGAATGTTGTCTTCATAATTAGTTTATGAAATTTAGTTTTGTGTATAAATTCATTTACATACTGTAACTACTCAAAGATTACTTTGTATTCTGGAACTGTTCTTATATATACAAGTCTCAAAAGAAAAATATCTCCAGATGACGTCAATTTTTTTGAGCCAAGTGCTCGGATAAGGTCTGACTCAAAGATACAATTTGTTGGTGCGTGCTGAATCTCATTGAATTAATTTTTTTCATCCATTCTCTATTCTTTTCACTCTTATTGTTCTTTCTGACATTGCGTTAATAACAATTTCAACCCCTTAGAATTTCTAATTTTTTGACACCTCTTGTGAATGGAATGATTGAAAAACATTGGTGATGGGTCCTTTAACGGTGCCGAATAGATCTTATATTGAAAGAAGAATCTCCTAACTGACCCCTGACCTGTAGACCATTCTAGACAATAGCTTTTGTCCACTCAGTGGAGATGTGCACTGGCCTGTCGAAGAGAGGTAAACGATCACAGTGCTATAACAGAACAGTTGCTGACTGCGCCATGGTACTAACACGACTGCCAGTCCTAGTACACACAGGTTTTCCCTGTGCTTTATTGGTTTTGATATGATGTAATTTTTCCTATTCTGTACTAGTTTAACATACATCTACCCGTATTGTTCCCAACAGTTTCATTGTTATGATGAGCTTTTTTTTTCTATTATCTTTTTTTTTTTAGATAATTAGAGTGCTGTACTGTACTGTATCACAGTGCCCCTCGTTGCTTTCTCTGCTTAAACGTGAGCAGTGCGTCTCTTTGGCGTAAATCATTGTTAGCGTTGACTTGGCTGTATCAAGTTTTCACCACCACCAATTATATTTTGGAAAAATGTTCATGTATTATGAGAGGGACCTGAAGCTTTGGTCTCAGGTGTTTTTAGAAGATTTTTATTGTTGAAGTTTCCCATGATCATTGCACAAAGTTTATAAACGTTATATTACCCAGATTACTATTTCAATACAGCTGACCCGCTCACCTCAAACTGGAGTGGAAAAAGATAGTGTAGATGGTAGAAATTTATGAGATTTCTGCTTTGGACTTTATATTAATTTGTCATTTCTTTATATAAAGTTCACAACAGCTGAAGGCGTTCAAAGAACTGTGTTCTTTTTTCGACTGAGGGAATTTAATTGTTTTTTAGGAAACATGTCTTGTGGTGTTTTCGCCTGACCCATTGCCATGAACTGCTTTTATCTGTTCATTTTGTCCATATGGCCCAACCTCTGTGTTAAATGTCAACTCGGCTTTAGTGTCTGTCATTGCTTGCTACTATTCACTAGGTATGTATGCGTAGAGCATGTTGAAGCTTTTCCCATTTCTGCCTCTCAAGAAATCATTCTCAGTAAACTTGATCCTGTTCATCAATATATATATATTATACATGTGATAATACGACTGAGATATCACTCAAATAGATGCTAAATGTTGAAAGCACTTTTTCAAGTTTTACAGTAGAATTCAGTGGGTTTTTGATATTGGACATTTTGTCTGTTTGTAACCTTGTTCTCTTGCCGATTATAATTATTATTTATTTGAGAAAAGGGGCATGGATTTATGTGTATATCAGACAAAAGACTGATTCATTCAGTGGTTTCGTTTCTGCCCTAAGGTCCCTCGAAGCCTAAAGTTGTTCCTCTTGCTTTTTTTGTTCAGTAATCGTTACTTTTTAATTTTTCTAATTAACTTCCACTTTTCCAACACCTGTTCAGATCAGATCTGTATCCTGTTTGTACTTGACCTCCTTCAATGCCATTACATGTAGCATCCACAGATTCTAATTATAGAATTGGTACGTTTGTCTGTTGTTGTCATCATTTTTTGTGTCAAATAAACTGCTTTGGTATTCTCACCTGACGGTTTTGTCTGTTAATTTTATGCCCTGTCAGGTGCTGTTACGTTAATGTTGTCATTGTTTCTAATGTTATATTGTTATTGTTGTCTTTTAATTCTCCACCCTACTGGCCCTAATTTAGGTCATCTTACAGACATGTAGGCAGGCACCACTTGTAGGTTCTATTTCTTTACTTTCCTTCTGTTGGTTCTGTCTGTCTTACTTTTCCCCAGAACTAAGTGACCATTATATATATTGTGTCAATGTGCTTCACTTCACTCAAATCAACAAAACTCAAATAGGTATAGGTCAAAAGTCCCCTTCTGGACGCCAGGCTGAGACACTATTTCAGAAGGGACATGAAAAATAATTGAGACCCGGTGGGGTTAAAACTTTGAACTTTTGTTTGGCAGATCAAACTTTATTATTTACATCGTAGCAGCAAGAACTTTCTGGACTGTCAACATTTATGGAGCAGTATTAAAACTTTTGGTACCATTTAGTTGGACCATGTTGCGGGTGACCCTGGTTTGAGTCTCCTTAGGAGTTTTCTTTTTTGTAGATTTTGTATCTGAAAACTTTTCAGGTCTCTCCACTACCTTGGCTTGGTCCTATCTGATATTCTCCCTGTGAAGTTAGATAACTAATCAACTTAGTTTAAAGAAATGTTTGAACGAATTTGGCAGATCTCATCCATGCAGGTTCCTCTCACTCGTATTGCATGTCAAGTTCAAACAAAAATGAAAATGAGATTCTTACTTTTATTGTGTAGCCTACATGTATACAGTAGGCGACACGGATAACTCACATTCGCCGGGACTGGCCTCGGTAATTCGAGGGATGTCTTACAAAGATGAGGAAGAAGAAAAACCAGGACCGCAGGCACAGTTTGACGGATGCGTGATTTCGAGTTCGAGTCTTGGGTTCGACCTATCCGTGTTATACTGCTTTAATGTGATGTACTCTGTTAAATGGAGCGGAGGGTCCTCTACTTGTACTGGTACGACACGTAGGTTGTGGTCAACTGATGGGCTGTGGAGTGTCGTGTGGAATTGTTAATCCAACAACTCTATTACAACCACTGAACCAGGCATTGTGATGCACTTGATTACGCACCATGATCCCTACACAAAAGTCTGACTGGCATCTGTGGTGCAGCAGTTAGGTGCTTCACAGTCACATGCAAAAGACTTGATTTCAATTCCCGTGTGGGGAGAATCTCAATCGAGTATCTCGGTCTTTCTTCAGGGACTTTGTCTCACTCTTAACCTGGTTTGTCCCCGACAGGCAAGGCTGAAGCAGCCCTCCTCCTGATTTAAATAAAGTCCTTAGGGGTGTAAAACTTGCACAATTATATTACAGAAGTTTGTGGTCATTCTTCTTTAAGAATGTTTCCTGGACACCCCCCCCCCCCCACAAAAACAAACAAACAAACAAACAAAAACCATGATTCGTCTATGAAGTCATCCAATGCCTCCAGCAAGTTGTTGAGCGTTAAACAGAATAAGCGTAGATCTACATAGTATACTGCAATTTGAATCATTTGCTCATCCTCAAAACAGCGGGACTCGCCATTAGCTCAGTTGATATCACGCTGGACTATGCATCAGACAGCCGTGGTTAGAATCCCAACTGAGCTCGTGTCGATTTGGGGAGTTTTTAAGGCTCTATCAAGCCTATCGGAGATGGACGTTAAAATCGGAGGTCCCATCTTTGCAATAAACGTACAGTGTTAAAAGGGGTTTTCAACCAATACAATTTCGTGCTTAAACATCAGCCTATGCAAGAGTGAACATTTCACCAAATAAGTCTTGATTAGAACGCGAAACAGGAAGCATCTTTATGTGGTGACAGCTGTCTCAAAAGTAAGGGTTAAGAGGTCACAACTTTTTTTTAAAGTGCAAAGTAGGTATATAACACTGAATTTTCTTATTGGATTCAAGTGAAAAATCAATCCACTTAGAACTTTTCATTCAGAGCATTTTGATACCAAATTTACTGCAATAGGAAGGTATTTAAGGAAATTGTGACATGTTTAAAATGTTATTTCATCGCGAATTAGGAAAAAAGCCACGATTTTCAGAGACAGCTCAGACATAAACCAACATTGCTACACAAACCAAGCTTCTTCAGTCAAGAGTCACTGGTGCATACACTAAGTTCAATTTTTTTTTTCATAGACATCTGACAATTCAAAATGATCAAAATATGGTCTCAAAAATGGCCTAGAAGCCATGTTCACATTTTGGCTAAAGAGGTAAATAAAAAAGACAAAATTTCATCAACTTCAGACCGTCATAAAATTGACCAGTTGATAGGCACATCATACATCAAATTAAAGAGATTTCTAAAGAAAAGCTCTTTTGCATGAAATTAAAATTAATCAGAACAAATTAATGTGTATCTCCTGGGTCTTCAAAATACCCACCATACATAGGCCTACTAAAAACGGCAAATATGGCAATATCTCAATTTTCACAAAAATCACCTATCATTGATAGATACACATAAAAACATAAAACATTTCACGCGTCAAATTAAAGAGACAGCAAAGGTTTATTATATGATATTAATAAAAGCGGACTATTCTAAACATCAATGCATTCATCTCTCCAGTCTTCAAAATAACCATCGTAGTGTCATAACCAAAAAGTTGGACATGTAGATCTAGTCCTCCAATCTTAACACACTTTTACAAATGCACAATTTTGAGGTGCAAGATAGCATTGACAGAGGTAAGCTTAGATTAGTCTACATGCAGGGCAGG